TAATAATAATAAACATAATAAAAGTAACAGTAAAATCACAGATTGAGATGGTAGCTAGTAGTATGTCCACACAGTATGACTAAAGTATGGCTTTGCTTTCTTATGTCCAAGGTGACAATGCAGTGTTATATTTTGTATCTGATGGTATGCCAATGATGAACTTACTGTATTAAAACTTGAGCATTTTATGCCACTTCTTCCCATAAATCAAAAAAGTGCATGAACACAATTTTCATCCTTTCTTACTCAGCATTCATTGGAGTTACATCTTTATGAAGTGTAATGTTTACCAAATCATGCACACAGGGAAAAAAAAAGAAAAAAAAAGAAAATGAAATAAAATGGAAGAAAAGAAAAGAAAGAAAAAGACACATCCTGTCTACTGTAAGGATACGTACAGTATTAGGTACTCTCAGGGAGTCTAAGATCAAGAAGATTTGTTTTGCTTTTAATGCATAGTGAAAATGTTGGCACTTCATCCCATGCTATTGTCTGCATTGCCTATACTCCACAGATACTGCCAGTGCTTGAAAAGAATGACAGGGAATCATAGGATTGTGCTGTTTAATTTGAAGTCAGCAGGTTTTTAAGGCCTTCTGCTAACAATAATTGCTTTCATACATTTCTGTCTATCAGCAGTATTTGTAAATGAAGTGAAATTGCTATGATCAGGTCAGCTCTTTAGTCACATGGGTAAACTTTCACTCTCCAAAGTCAAAATGTAATTTTAAAATAAAGAAATAAGATACCAATATCCTCGATGGTCTAAATATAATTCTCAGCTAATTAGGAACTTCCTCTAGGTTCAGACTGAATTATGTAGGGGAAAACACTACTGACGATAACAATAAATTCTTACTGCATCCGTACAAAAGACGACAGAGAAAATGACAAATACAGAGTGCCATAGCATATTCAACCTTCTCCCAAACTTCTGGAAACGATACCTTTCTGAAAACATGAGAAAAGGAGAGCCACTGAAGAAAGCACGAGAACTAGCAGCTAGCTTTCTTTCCGTCTGCTGACATATCGTGGTATAGCATTCAGGCGAACCCAGATCCATCATGGACTTCACACTGTAGCTCAGATTTTGGTCAAGACTAGCTCCAGCTTCAGAAGACAAGTGCAGCACAGTGCTCAAATAGATTTTTCTTTTTTTTTTAAAAGCTGCACTTACTGTAATTTTAAAAATCCAGTATGGCTATTTGAACCCTGTATAGCCAGGAGGACACTGTGATTTTTGTATATGCTTGATTAGATTTTTATGAAAATGTAATTTTTATTCTTCTGATTAGGAAAAGACTAATTGTATTTTACAGCTACAAACAAGTTCTTTTTTTTTCTTTTGCCTCAGCACTGTGAGGTGAAGATGCTTTCTTCTACTATATCTAAGATCATTCAAAAAGTGCTTTTCAGAACAGATGTCGAATACAGACAGAAAACTTTGTATACTGGAAAGGGGATTTTGGGGGGCAGAACGGACTAAGAAAAGAATAAATTTCGGGACTAATGCCGCTTAAAGTAAGACCGAGACATGGCAATATAGGATGCTGAAGGTTTCATTTTTACTCTATGGAGAGTGAAATGCTTCCGCTTTAATAAGCTGACCATATTCCAAAATTAGTGTGGTTGATACAATAGCGTGCATGAATTACTGGCCTCGCCCTGCAAGAACGGTATTTGATTTGTGCAAACGTCCCTTGCTGCAATTTAGAGAAACAACAACCTGGCATGTTGATTACTGGTGCAGGGTATTTATCGTTTCTGTAAGGAAAGCATGAAGAATAGGGTTTTCTTTTTTGGGTATCACTTCTCAGAGTGAGTACCTAAAATAGATGTTGTAGTTTTTTGAAGTATGAAACAAAATCTAGTTATTCGTTAAAAAGTATATAAAAAAAAAAAAGCTCGAAGCTTATGAAGTGACTCCACAGAGTTCAGACCTTTAGCAGTATAAACATAATATAAACTTCATTGTCTGTAGTATTGTGCCATGACATTAGTCTCACTAAGACAAAATGCCACTTTGCAGCAAGCAATAAATCTGACAAAGCATTTTTAAACATAATGCCCTAACTTGCTAAGACAGGCTTTTACACGCTTCCAAACTCTTCTCCCTGAAAATTAACCCCGTTGATTCTCCAAATGTTAAGGGTCTCGGGCAAAAGTAAACTGAAGGCTGAAGTAAAATAACCATCCCCTTGGAACCGAACAAAAACTTAAATCCAGGAGGGATCACAGTCTAATTTCATATACATATATATGTATGCGATACACATATATATGAAATTAAAATAGAGACACACATGACTTGGGCATCAGAAGGGGACTGCTACTTTCATACATTCATAAATAGCTGCTGAACTCTCTACTCATGAAGAAGCTCTTGTAGGCAGTTTGGGGATTTGAAAATCTCGGGGACCTCACTGTCCAGCTTACAGATGACCTTGTATATGGCCTTCTTCCAGGAAGGATCAACATCTTTGCCTGCGATAATGGCATTGAAAAACTCCCGTAACGTGATCTGAGCCACTTCCAGGAATCTCTCTGGAACCTGCTGATACAAGGAGACAATGGCATTAATACAGTTTTCAATTTCAAGTCTCTGGTTCTTCAAAGGAAACTGAGCTAAGTTCTTTCTTTCAGAAAGGGGCTTACATAGCACCTGCATTTTCTAAATGTGGCAGCCTTCTATTCTCTTATGCAAAGCTGTTATATATAGTACTATAGCAATAACTTTTATAACATGTGTTAGAGATCTTTGTAAAGTCTACTGACAGAATGTAGGTAACAAAATGTTACTGTCTGAGTTTGGAGAGTGGGGGATTTATAGGATATAATTAGCAGGAGGGGAAACAAACACAATTGTCTTTAAGGAGAGAAATCTCTGCTTGATATTTTACCCGTGCATTTACGGCTATGTTCTCCTCTCCATGTGGGAACTAATATGGAAGTTATGTATGCATAGAAAACCCTCTGTACCTCTGCGCTTAACTTTGGTCACAACCAGTACTGAAAGCTATCAAAAAAATAGGGTATCTCTGAATGCTGTTTGTAGTTTAAAAACAAGCAAGCAAGCAAGCCTTCAGCTAATGGCTTGCTTCTGTGGCTGCTGTGCAAGAGAACCCCATAAGATGGCTTTCTCAGGAGACATTATGGTCTTCCCTTCTTTTTCAGAAGCCTACAAATAAAACCCCAACCTCTTCAATGGGTGCATTGTGCTCCAAGTGGCTACTGGGCTGGGATGCAACAAACTCATCTGGGTTTTCTAAATGTCACTGTCACTTCACAGGTGAGCCAAACAGCCGGCTAGCAGGGGCATGCCACTCTCAGAAGCCCCTGAACAATGGGTGAACGTTAAAAAACAGTTACCTCCAAACTTTGGTAATTCATCCTAAATAGTTGTTTCAGGCAACAGCACCACCTTCTTACCCTCTGCCTTAAATGATTCAAAAGCAATCATTATAATGAACCGTAGGTCAGTTGCAAGGTTGAGGTCATCTCCATAAAGGTATTATTTTCCATTTTTATTACGGAAATATGGCTTCACAGCTCTAGAACTGCTAATACACGGCCGGCCAGTAGCCAGCATGCTTATAATAGCAAGTATTCCCTCACTGCTATTCTTTGCCCACTCTGGCAAGAGGAGTTCTCCGACCTGCAGTAGAGGCTACTTCAACCATTCCTCTGGCCAACAGACACCCAGGCAAATCTCACTCATTTACTGAATGCATGTCGCATTACCAGATCAGGGCCAGCACCTTATCCTCTACTTCAGGTTTTTGTTCTTCTCCCTTTCGAAGTCACTTTCAGAAAACTTGTCTGGAAATGTGCGTGTTTAACCTGATACAATAGAGCTCTGGAGCCTCACTCACCTATCACCGCTGGGGAAACACTAGCAGTTTGCGAGCCATGTTTTGCCATCAGATAAGCATGAGATCAGCTCCCCCTGACACCAGCTGACAAACTCTGCTTCCAGAAGCCCCACAGCCTGCAGAAGTCCTCTGTCTACCTCCAAGAGTGAAATCCAGCCCCCACATGTTTTTCTCCGCTCCCAAAGTCAGGCTGCCTGAAATTTTTCATTCAATGGGCCGCATGGAAAGAAACATTTTTACAGATGTTCTGTTCCAGCAATAATTATGAGGGAAGAAAATAACTACTATGTTTCACTTATTCAAGCTCAGAGAAATAACTTAAAACTTCACATAACCACTCTGCTGTTTGGGCACTTGGTAGTACGTCTATAAAAGATACCATGCTTGTCTCGTTCTTGCATTGCTACAAAAAATTATACACTTTTCTGTTCATGCAGTTCAAACAATTGTTCATGTGCTGTTCATCACGCTTGGCATTGCTGGGTGCTAACCAAGGGGAAGGAGTTGTTGACTACATGATACTAGAAAGCAAGAAATGTAATAAATAACCTACTTTTTGTTTTACACGCCCATGTTTGCTCACAAACTGTTGGTTTTTGCCTCTGTGCTTGGGAAAAAGAGTTCACACCTTCCAATTTTGGTGTCCATTCCAGAGGACCAACATTAGAGCCTTTCTTCCCTTCCAAGCTGCTGGAGATGGGAGGGAGGCAATTACAAGCACCTACATGAGAATCATAAAGTCCAAATGCAAAAAGTCCTACCTCTCCCTATATGGTTACACCTATGACAACTTTAAGCATGGAAGTGACAACCTGGGTTTTAAGTTGAGCCTTTGCCACCCAATTTCTGCCTGTGCATATGAAAGTCTTCCAGGTAGGGGATGCTGCTTTTCCACGGAGTAGGCAGTGTGAAACCCTTGAGCCACTAGCTTCCAGGCCTCCCACCCCCATAAAGGCACACAGGCTTTTCTTTTAGGCTAGGAGTTAGCTTTTAAGGTCCAACTTCATTGTACCTGAGTCACATCTGCAGGGCTGGGCCCCTTTGAACCTGGTACAACAAGCTGCAGAGAGCAGCCCACAAACAATAGTGAACAAAACCCTGCGGGGGCTTTGAAGAGACCTCCTTGTAATGCTGAGTTCCCAAAGATCTCCCCTGCTCCACAGGCATTAGAGCCGTTCACAGCTCTTTCCTTTCGGGATGTTATTAGCAATTTTTCATGTCAGACTGGATTACACACGTTACTTTGCATGTTGTAATGTGAACAGCACTGTGATTAATCCCCACAGGACAGTACGTCAGCCAACATTTTTCCTTTCTAGAAAGAGTAACTGCAAAGTGTTGTATTTTTTTTTTTTTTAATAAAGAAAATACTAGTGAAGTCCAGAGTCTGAAAATAAATATTTAAATGGATGGGTAGTTAGATTTTTCACTGGGCAATAATCAGTCAGCCATGTTAATTATGCGTCTGGGGGTGGCATTTCCCTGACCCTAAGTGATGGTGACCTATTCAGCGCATCTTTACACCTAACTGACTGAACATCTCTGAAGTAGGAACATCTGCAGAAAATGCTTCAGTGACAAATAAACTCCATCTACATTGCTTTTAATAGAACCAACAATCCCTAGTATGAACCCAGGCCATTTTCTTAGCATCAGGTGGCAGCAGTCAATCAAAGAATCACACTGTACATTCACCAGGAGGAAAGACAATGAGGTCTGCTCAGGGGGAGGCTAGGTGGGTTTCAGGCTGAAGCTGCCACATCAGACCGATTTAGAAAGAAATCACACTTTGCCGCACGTTTTGTCAATGTAACTTAGCTTCACTGCCAAAGAAAAAGTCACAGGCCAGACTTTGGGCTAGTGTAAATCAGCAGAGATCTACCAGCCTCACTGCAGTTACGCTGATTTACACCTGATACGCATCAGTCCCCTACCTCCTAACATAGTCCAACAACCACCACAGTGCCCCTTCTCAAGCCTTAGCCATGTTAACACATCCCCTTCGTCTATGAAAACTGGGAGGGAATTGCAGCTCTCATCTGCTCTTGTCTATTTATGCTGTTTTAACTACTGGCATTTTTCTTGGCTTGAACAACAAACCTGAACTATTTCGCTCCTGGGTTTGCATGTGCAACTACCATACCGAACCATTTGGATTAGCACTGTGGGGGAGTGCTTTGTTAAAAATACTCAGCACAAACTATTTCTATGTGAGTAAAAGTATGGTTCCAATGGCTCAAAAGTTGAAGCCAAGTCAGACCTAAGTCACACTTCTTTCATACAGAAGCACACACAGTTGCAGAAAGCGCTATGCTTTAAAAATACTTGTTGAATTTCTTTTCAAGGAAAACATTACCAAAAAGGCAGCGGTGAGGGCAGATCCTCAGCAGGTCTAAGTCAGCGTTGCTCAAGGAAAATCAGTGAAGCAACACTGATTTTAAGCCAACAAAGAGGATCAGGCTTCCCTTTCTGATGGCATGCATGGACTTTAAAAATCACCATTGGGCAGGAGGGCACACTAGAAGTAGCCATGTGTCTCAAGTTGGTGGCCAATCAGCGGCCCTTCACTGTTTTTCTCGTTATTGGGTTGTCTTGTATCTTGTATCTTTTATTAGTTAAATCATTTATTTTTTGGGTTGTGCAGCAAAGACTTTTTCTCCCTTCCCTCCTATTCCCCTCGTCTCCTCCCCTCCCTCAGCCCTCCTCCTCCTCCTCTTCCCAGTTGCTTTACCTTCAAGGATGATTTGTTTTATTAAACTGACTGTCCCCAGCCTCTGCAGTACATAATAAAAGCCTGACATAGCAGCCTGCCTGCCTTCTGTGTCCTGCAGATACTCATCATAAGTGTCAGGACATACCAAGGTTAGCGGTCACTGGAAGTGCGCTCACTGGCTCAAGCCTTGCCAAACATGCTTGGCAGCTGAATGAATGTCACAGAGACTAGAAGGGGAATTACAAAGGTTAGAAAGAAGACAGCCTCTCTTTCTCTCTCTCTTTTTTTTTCTGGAGATATATAAGCTGATTTTTCACACTTCTGAAATAAACATCAGCTCATTCACAGTCCCTTTCCAGCAATTAAATCTCTCCCATCATCAAGCAAACCTTTAATTTCTACCCAAGACTTATTTCTTCATTAGCAAAATAAGATGTTCAATTCACTCTTCATAGAAAAGGGGAAAACCACCAAAACCAAATGACAAAACAAGTCACCAGTCTGCTCAAAGATTTATATGTGTATTTCATGTCGTTAATCCTATTAAGGGTGGGCTTCTTTACACTTAATCTTGTAAACTTTCAAAAATTCTTGCTCAAGTGGTAAATCTAGATGATAGAAAAAGCAATACAGAGGTAAAGATCACAGAATTGTGAAAGTCAAGTTAAAACTGATATTCCAGAGAATTGTGGTTTGTTTTTTTACTATAAAAGGGCAATAAAATGCTGACTGTAAGAAGACAATGTCAAGGAGAAAAGGGTATTGGTATTTTGGATACTCTTGACTGCTCGCCTTGGAGAGAGAGTTATTCTTGTCACAAACCCTTTTGTCTGCATCTGCTGACTGCTTGCCTGTAGCCAGCAGCATACTTTAACTGTTTTGTCACCTCCTAACATCACATGCATCAGCTGTTGTGCTTTTGTTACGGGTATTGTAGAGCTAATCCACTGTGGCTGTTCTACTGTG